GCTTGTCGAATGAAACACCTCGGGACTTATTCCAGAACCCAACGATATGATATGATACGGCGTTATCTCATCTCTCATCACAAACTTGCAATCTCGCATATCTCTTATCATCATTAGAGTTTACTCACGTTTTACGCGTTCTCATTTGACGATTCTTAATGGTTCACTCCTTTATTACGGGTACCTCCTACTAGGTCGTCTTTCCGAACAAGGTGCGAACGTCGAGCGAAGTAAGCCACCGTGCTGTCGTTGTGTTGTAGTGTTTAAGATGAATTGCCTTGAAGTTCCGTAAGTTCTGTTAAATATCATTGTAAACACAGATCTACACGTTGTAGTGGCCATACCTCGGCGTACATGATTTCGGTCGACCACCTCCTCTCCTTTGGGCTGCATACAGGAAATTCCGAACACTCTCCACTCACGCAAAACGCCGTGTGAGCGATACCGCGTTGCTGGGTTAGAATAGTAAGGGTTTGACTTTCTTCGAGTTTTCCGATGACCTTGCCTAGTGTGAAGTCATTCAGCTGATGTCGTACATGTTGTATTGACGGATATTACCATAGTACTTCGCAGCTACTCGTTCATTAGAACGAACTTTTTCATACCTATCAACCGCCTCGATTTGTGCAGAGATTTCGCGACTTATTGAAGTCGTGTAGAAGTTTTCCACGGAAGAATTCCAGCTTTCTGTGTATGACTGTTAAAAGTCTAGCACTATGCTTCCGCACTTTCATTTATTACTGCCCAGTCGTTAATGTCTTGTGTGACTTTCCATCTCGTCCTTAGGTTTTGCACCTTAGCGTACTATACTCCTTGGGTTCGTTCTCTTAGACCCGATGAGATCGATTGTGATAGTGCGTATCGAGTGATACCTCACTGCTGTCGATCTTGTCTTCCATTTTTCATCATAATCATCAATTGCCCAAAATTATCATGAACTATGCCTTTAAGTGCTCTTGGGAGTGCTTGGAGGTGCCAAACCTCAGTCTTAACAAGGGAAACGGTGTAGGATTTCCATACTTTTTTTATATGGACCAAAAAGAAGTCCAGATGAGGATGACAAGGACTGGTGAAGTTACAAAACGAACTGCTTGTAGGCTGACATTGAATGGCGAGCTAACGAAGCAGGGTGACCGATGGAGTGTGAGACGAAAACCGAATTAGTGAGAAGTTAACGAATTAGTACGAAATATGTCAGAGGTTATTGATAAAGTACTTCGTGTGCTAAAAGTAATAGACATAAATATGGAACATGAGAATAAATGCGTTTATCAGTAAAAAGTTATCGTGGGTGGATACTGAATAATAAACTTTAAGGATATCCAAGTAACCTCGAGCTGGTTCAGATGGTACTATTGAATAGATTAGAAAGCGTGGGGTGAGTGGCGTCTGTGTACAGCGCTACAAACGTAGTTCAGTTGAAACTAAATATCATGAGGCAACAACAAAATACTAAAGTAAGCTTATAGAGAGAAAACAAAGTAAAACTACCTGAAAAAGAAAACGGATTCTGGCGTGGTTGTCAGGGTTGACGGCAATTGCGTTAAGTGTAATCGGGCACAACGTTGAAGGATCCGCGACTTGAAGGCATAGTTCACGATAATTTTGGGTACCCAGGTTAAAATTATGAACGCGAAGGCCGAGGATGTGCGACGGCTGCGAAGAAAACATGAGAATGAAGAGGCTTGGAATAAGTGAAAAAAAATGGAGGTTGGACGAGTGTATGAACTTGCAGAAGACAGCGAGATCTCTTATCTCAGATTTCTTCCTGTGTTAGAGGTGAACCTGGACGAAGTAAGTTGTGCCACTGGTTCAAAAATTTTTTTTGCGTCGCAATCTCCTCAGCTTGGGGACTTTCGTAAAGTTGTAGATTTGAGAGCTGCCTTGGTCAACCGAGAGAAACGTTGAAAATTCTGTGCAAACCCCGACTAGACAAATTGGAATTTACTTATGAATTTTGTCAGCATTCTGCGACCACAGTAGAGAATTTCGGTCACCTCAAACTTCGAGGTAAGGATTCAATCCTAACCGAATCTTATTCAAAGAACAGTGATTAGTGAGACCCTCTACATCAGAATGTAAGCAGCGGAATCGATACTTGTGTGTTGTGTCGATAGGGTATGGCAGAGTTAAAAGCACACTTTACGATAAAAATGCCGACACGCAGCGGGAACGCCGCCTGGGTACCAGCAAACGCCCAAGCTGGTGCCATTCCAGGTTGCGATCGCCAGTAAGTCCGTGTTCGGCGAGGTACCTTGAGTGAAGTCCCTTTCTATTTTTTGATAACCAAGGATTGAGAGACCAATGACTAACACCATGCACACCGAAACGCACATCACTACTATGGTCCTCGAAAACACGAGTGTATGAATGAATCTGTCCTAATAAAATGCTCATGCTACTGCTATGCTAATGCTGCTGCTCCCTCAAAAAAGACGATATGAAAAGACGGTTCTGTCTACCGATGTCTGCTACCAGAAAAGATTTTTGACTAGGTCAGCCTTCACAGAGCAATGAATGAAGTTAATGGCAAATGTAACGCCCCTCAGACCAGCGGAGCTCTGACATATGGTTCAACAATGCCTTCTCTTTTAAGCTTGAAAAGACCCAACCAACCCCTTTCCCTATCCTTTCCCCTTGGGCGAAGATTTGGTTAGTGTCGAATCAAAACATTAGCAGTCAGCGAAGAGTCTACAGCGCCCAAACAGCTCTTAAGGGGTAAAATCTTAAGTATATAAAAAAAGTATGTGAATTAGTTTACATGAAACTTTTGAAGTGATGAACGTTGTGTGCTTTTGTGAATATTCATTGGTGTTACAAAAAGGCAGGGACGAAAAGCTTCATAGCTCCGAGAAAGAGCTGAGCTTCACCTCGACAGGAGGGGCCGTTAACTAGAGCCTGGCCAAATTATGAAGTGCTTCCTAATCGAATATCGGGGCGCCATATAGGCGCAGGCGCGTGGCATTATATGACAAGAGCCGTGACACCTGTTCTTCCTTAGGGACGGAGAAGCAATAGGAATCTTACTTTTGCAAAGAATTTTTTTTGGAACGGGCAGGCGGCCAAGAACAAAGATTTGAGCGAAAAGAATGAGTCGCCTTGTGTTCCTTGAGGGAGCAGGATGCGTTGGACAGCATTACTCGCAATAGGAAAAGAACATATAGTACCACTCGACTAGTGTTCGAGTTCTCCTCAATAATTGTCGAAAAGTCAACACGATTAAGGTAATAAATAAAACGACCCTGGTTAACTAAAAGGATAAATATTCTTGGAGTTAAAGGCACGGTTCACGATAAGAAAAGTTACTGAGTTCTTCCTTCAGGAATACTCAGCGCCCCCCATGAGTGGTAGAAGGGGCCCTCTCGCTCCCACAATCTCTTCGCTTAGGGCATAGTGGAAGCCCCGTTGCTGCCGTAGTTCGCTTTCCCGCCCCTCGATCGGTGTCACGTTAGACGAGTATCGAGACAATACAGAGTGCTATTATTCGTTCTAGGACCCACGCACAATCAGCTGATCGCCGAGTGATGAGACGATGTTTTTCTCCCATTCTTTTTTCCTCTGTTTTTCTTTTTGCTGCCGCGATCCCTTATTTGATTTCCTACTCCTAGATGCTGAAAA